ATACATATATACATATATATATATAATACATATATATATATATATATATATATACACACACACACATATATATATATACATATATATATATACACACACATACACACACACACACACATTTTAATATTCCAGATTATAAACACTTCAGTGGTTTACCCATTTTATCTAGTATGCACTGGTTACCCTTCACAACACTACTGTATGTAGTTATTTTGGAAAAAAAATAAAATGGATGTCATACCTGATTTAGAACTCTGCTGACCAGGACCAGAGGAAGAAAACACATTACACCTATTTTAACCTCCCTTTATTGGTTGGTTGGTTAAACATAAAACCAGCCTAGCTTTTGGTTCAAATGTTTTATGTCCATGGTTTATTTTATTTTATTTATTTCATTGTATTCATTTAAAATAAACTTCTCTATTTTATTTGTTATTATCTTATATCTATTTTATTGTTTTATATGATTACATTTCTTATCAGCTTAGGGCAAAAAAGGAACAACAGAATGTATATTGTCTATTAATCTGCCTCTAACTAACCTCCATCCATTTCTTTCCCCAGGCATATATCACATCTAATTTGACAGCAATGTTTCATCAAGCTGAGTGGAGGATAACTAACATGACACAGGAAACAATATCATTGATCAGAACTCCAGTATGAGCAGGCCCTGTGGTGACCCTGCACAAGCAGAAATCGCTGCAGCATCGTCAGATAATTCAGCTCTTCTCTCTGTGAACCCTCTCTCAGTGGTTTTTGCAAAAGCGACTGCTGTAAATATTTACATGCCGTGTCTGGCAGCTCTTAGAGACAAGACAGAGAACACCTTGAAGATTGCTAATGAATCTGTGACCTTTTAACTTATGGTAACCCTGCGGGCCCTGCAGGCAGGGCTGGATGCGAGACTGTTGTAGTTTTTTTTTTTATCTTCTGGAAACAAGAGGGAACTCGATCAGGAGCTGCACTCCTTGTTTTGTGGAACTCTATATACAGTGTTAGGTGGTACCAGACTGTACCTTGTGCTGTATATCTCTCTCCCTGCCTGTTTTTTTTCTCCACTACATGCCTTTTATGTGAGACAACACAGATACATACACAAAAGTTTTACACTCCAGAGTCAGACTGTAAAGCCAACTCTTTTCATTTAAGAACATAAAAAATGTAATCCAAATATTAAACATGAAAACATATATTTAATCATCCCACACATATTTGCTGTACATTCCAATATATTGACCTCTTATATAATATATGAATCTATTGTTCTTATATGCAGCTGGAAAACATATGGATATGTGGTCATGTATTATTAGACAACAATTTACATAGCAATGATTTGCAATTATTCAATAAATTCTACAATGCATTACAAAATGTACTGAATTGTTAAATGTGGGTCATGATATTAGATCTAAGTAGTATATATAAATATATTAGTGTTTATCAGTATTGCAAAATGCAAAATATATTTGTGGCTGATGAATTGGTGAGGATGAATATTTATACTGGTGTCTGTGAGAGTGTGTAGTGTAACTGTTAACACCTGTTTAAACTGTCTCTTGATCTGTTTGCGCGCACACACACCCATACACATACCCATACACACACCATGGGCTGTGCCATGTGTTCCCAGCTGGTTGACATGTGGACAGTGAGAGTGGGCAGGGCCGGCCACAGGGCCATGGAGCTTACTGCCTACCCACAGATGCTTCAGGGAGGCTACCACAGGGTAACAGGCCTCCACTACATGTCCTCTTTCTCTGATGCTGAGGACTGCTGTGATGACACCAGTTCCGGCAGCTCTCTCACCTTGGACTGGCAGACACAGGGGACTGATGGTTAACACTCGACAAAGAGTTGTTATAACACCAACATGTAAATAAACATGATAAAATATATAGGAAATGCAGTGTATTTGCAATAAATGTTGTGAGTGATGGAATAAGTATTCAGATCTTTTACTCAAGTAAAAAATAGCAATACAACATGTAGAAATACACTATTACAAGGAAGATTCCTTCAGTGGTGAAAAGTGAAAAAGTACTCAAGTACTGTACTTAAATACAATTTTGAGTGTACTTATTTACGTATTTCAATGGAGCTAATTGCAACTACTTTAAATACTATTGAGTAGTTTAATCTATAATAAATAATCATATTTTCCATTATATGTATGCATTATATCAATTTTGATCAATTAAGATCTTCATAGTAATTAGTAACTAATGTTGTAAATCATATACACATATATACACACATATATATATATATATATATATATATACACACATATATACACATATATATAC